CCCTTTCTTGGACTCTAATTATACATGTTAATTTGATATTGTTCCAGAGTTCGTTAGGTCTGTTATTACTTGCGTCTCTTTTCTGTCCTTCACTTTGAATAGTTTCTATCATGTCTTTAATTCATTACTTTTTTCTTCCATAGTGTCTAATCTGTTGATGATTATATCCAATGAAATATTCTTTGGTACTGTGAATAGTTAATGAAGTCGGTCTATTTTACTCATTTTTACTTATCTCTATAGCCAGGACAGTGATCTTTGGCTCAGCTCTGAGAACTAAATTCATGGAATACTCACACAGTTACTTGTTAATGACATTATTACATATGTCTGAAGCAGCAGCTCAAGATGCACCACGCTATGTTTAAAGTAAACATTAAGATTTATAATGTGCACTTGGTGTCATACTTCTGGTCCACATCATAGCTATGACCCTTCCCTTTAAGAACTCTGAACTCCAAGACTTGAATAGTGGGCTTCCATGGGTGTAGACATATCATGTTTCTTTGCAATTCACAGCTGAAAAGTATTCATATGACTCTCACAGAGACAAAAGACCTGGAAATCTGTATGTGACCTAACATTTGTCTATATACTTTTTTCATTCCTTCACTTTTTCTTTTATTGTAACAAATCTTAGGCATGAATATGGCTTTATGCTGAATCGTGTCTTTCCAGCAAATCACCAAACTAGCTAATGGTCACGGGACTTCCTGAAATGGGTATTTTCATTTCCACAAGTTATTTTGATTCTTCTGAATATCTTCCATTTTATTCATTATTTTTATATTTACCTGTAACATCTTTGTGTGTTATTTCAATGGCATAGTCATTTCTGAGTCTCTTTCTATTGTTTTTTATGTATCACATTTTCCTGCTTCTTAACATGTCTAGTAATTTTTTATTGAATATTAGGTATTATTGTTGTTACACTGTTGAATGTTTTGTCTTCCTTTAATGAGTGGTTGGCTTTCTTTTGTAGGCAGTGACTTCTGGGTCATCTTGATCCCATTAAGACCTATTTTTAGACTTTATTAGGGTGGGTCTACAGTAGACTTGTCTCTAGGAATAGTTCAACTCTTCTACTAAAGCATGACTCCTTATGTGGTATGCATTTAATTTCTGGGGAGATTACTGAGGACATTGCTCTGCTGGTCAGTTAGAATTTTCCCCTATCTTCTGAGACCTATGGCAATTGTTCACCTATTACTGCCTGTCATTTTTTTGCCTGACCCTCTAGAATTTCACTCTGAGAATGTGTGGCTTAGAATTCAGCAGACTCAAGAGCATACTGCTGCAGATTTTTGGATCTCTTCTGTATAGCTCCCACCTGTGTCTTCCTCACAACATACACCTACCTCAAACTCATTGAACTCCAATCTTTATTTTAACTTAGCAAGACTGTCAGGCTCTGTTTGGGTTCTTTCTCGTATTTGTAGTCTGAAAGTTACTTCCATCTAGAAAGTTGGGGCAATCATAGGGAATCACCTCATTTGTTTCCCTTCTCTCAGGGATCACAGTCCTGCACTGTCCACTGTTCATGCCTCAATGTAATCATTCTGTATTTCCTCCAGTTTGTTTATTGAGTAATGTTAAGTTTAGTCCTTGTTATTCCAGCATGGATGGAAGCATAAGTCTCAATGAATATTTGATAATTTCTTAAATAAATTCCTAAAAGTCTTGTCATTTCCTTCCTAAACACACTGGATGTTTCTCCATTGGGAAAAATAAACCACAACTTGAAACACTGTACAATTACTCAAAAACATATTAAGTGTACTAAACCATATTATACAACAAATTATCAAAGCTTGAACTGTTTTAACACTAGCTCATTCAGACCTATGTGTTCTAAGAGATGACTACAGTAACGAGAACTCAATATGGTCTCATATATCTCAAATTCTAAAGACCACTGACATTGTTTTAGCAACTAGTTTATAAAATCTGACCAATTGCTGCCCAGACCCACTTACTAACCTTTGCCATATAACCATCCCTTTACTAACTGGAGCCCTGCAAATACTCTATATACCCTTCTCTCTCATTTGAGATGAGAGACTGTCAAGGTATTGCTCTCCCTTGCTAAGTTGAATGGTTTCTCAAGTAATCTTTCTTCACCTTTGACAATCATGGAGGCTCCAAGAAAGTTCAACAGGGACCAACCACAGCCAAAGCTCAAGACCATGGACTCAAGAAGCTCTCCACTAAGGCCCCTTGAGCTTTCCTGCTTGAGGTTCCTTGTCTGTAATAATGAAGGGAGTTCAGCTAAGTCTGAGCTCTAATCCCTTTTTGTTAAAATTCCAAATCTGTATGAGTTTGTCTGCCCTAGGAGAAAAGTCCTCCAAGACATTTGTCATTTGATGAAATCTGTACTAATTTTAATTTTCCTTGGTGAATACATTAGTTATCTATTGCTGTGTAACAAATTACTCCAAAACTTCATAGTTTGAAAAATAAGTATTTATTATCTCAGAGTTTCTGACAGTCAGGACTCTGGGAGTGGCCTAACTGGATTTTTCTGGCTCACAGTCTCTCGAGATTGTAGTCAAGCTGCTGGCTAGGAAAAGGCTTGCCTAGGGAATTATTCACTTCCAAGTTCTTTCACATGGGTGCTGGCAGACCTGTTTATTGCTGTTGGCTGGAGACCAAGTTCTCACCATCTGGGCCTCTCCATGGGCTTCCTGAGAGTCATCATGATATGGCAGCTGCCTTCTACCAAAGCAAGTGATCCAATGGAGTGTGCATAAGAGTGACCAAAACTTATGCTGCAATCCTTGTATGACCTAATCTTAGAAGTGACAAATCATCACTTACATCATATGCTACTGGTCACACAGACCAACCTTGGTACATTGTAGGAGGGAACTACACAAGAATGTGACTACCCATACCTGGAGAATCCAACTTGGGGGCCAAGGTGGAGGCTGCCTATCACAGTGAAGTATGCCAAAGCACTGATCTGTCAGTAGTTCTCCTATCTATCTATTGGCTATCCTGTTATGTGTCTATAAGAGCTTTCCTTAAATAAGGCCCCTACTCATCATCATGGAAGCTAAGATACTCTACATCAATATGCTATATGTTGGAAACTCAATGAATGTATTCAATTGTTATAAGTCTGTGAAACAGGCACTGTCTACACTTAAATGAAGACTAAGAAAAGTTAAGCAATTTATTTTTTCATACATCTAGTAAATCATGGTACCCAGGCATTCTCAAATCTGTTCTTCAAAGTCTAGGATCTTTCCATAATTCCCTGTTTCTTGTGACTGGTTCCTGGCTCTCAGCTGGCTCTTTCCAGCTTGGCCTCCCATTAACCCCTCGCTCACCTCACAATACCTCCCTACTCCATATTCCATCATACTGCATGGACCTTAAGGTCTGTAGGTTGTTAAGTGTGTTAGTCCCACAGCTAAAAGCCTTTTGCCCCATCCCTATATACCAGTTTTTAAAAAATTTGTTGAGCTAGCACCTGGCAAATTTCATAAACATTCCATGAGTGTTTGAAATGAGTAAGTATTCATGTTAAATAGTCTTCTTCATCAGTTCATTAAATCGAGCCTGTTAATTGTGCTATTAAAATCTGCATCCTTACTGTTTTTTGTGTTTGACCTAATTAGTGAAGTATATGAAAATCTCTACTATAATGGAAGATGTTAATTTTTCCTTGCAGATCTGTATGCATCTGCATGTTATTAGATGCATACAAGGTTTATCTCACCATTATATGAACTGGTTGGGGGAGAGGAGTAAGGGAGACAGAAGGGTGTGAAGGAGCCAAATAATGGTAGGTTTATATCCAAGCCTTCTCTCTCCCTTGCTAAGGGGAGATAACTAGCCTTTCCAATGATCTGTAACCTGGACGGTGGTTACAGATTCTTTGGATGGATTATTTCCTTCCACTCATGCCAGTGAGAAGGCAAGAAAGTATCTTTGCTGTCTCTTTCCGTAAGGCAGAGTGCTTTTCACTCATCCTTCTACTAGGAGTATAGTCCACTGGAGTCTGAGCTTTACACAAAGGTCCTATTAGAAACTTTACCTGAGGCAGGCCTGAGCTTTACGTTTACTGTCTTATGCTCATTGCAAAGCAAAACCCAAGACTCCCAGGGTTCGTGGTTTCATTTCATTTGAGATTCTAGAAACCCTTGGTTGTGTATGTGTACTGCTTAGCAATACAAGAATTATTTTATCTAGTATTTTAGTTGAAGTTTTAAAATTATTTTATCTATTTTTAAAATTAAAATTATTTCTAAAATTATTTATCTTAAAATTTAAAATTATTTTATCTAATATTTTAGTTGAATTTGTTGAAAGTATCAGAGCCTTCTCCATAACTTTGAAATCCTATTCATCCCTCATGATTCAGCTCAAATATAGCTGCTTCCATTAAACTCAGTTCAATTATTCCTCCCCTACCCCACATCCAATGGAAATACATATCTTCCTATTTCTCACCATACTGTTTCTACCTCAATTATAGCAATTACTACACTCTGCCTCACTTTTTCCACAGTTATATTTGTATTTTTCTCTACCTAATAAAATAGCAAATCAATAATGGGATCCTATGTCAGTTATCTTTGGGTCCCCATCCCCACACCACTCCTTGTCTCCAGAGAGGATAGCAATATGTCCCTCTACGAACAGAGTTCCCTAATTGTTTATTGGCTTTAAATTTTTCTCTTAAAACATATGCTTAGAAATTATAACCATAGAACTATCTAATCCTATGGCAGTGGGCTAATGGCTGGTGTGTACTGCTCAAGAGAGCAAGTACTATCTAAAAGAGCGTTGAGCTGGGCTACTATGTGGTGTGTTCCTCAGGAAAACATGATTTTCTAAGAATCTTAGGTAGGCCTCCCACTACAGGGCCCTTTTAGATGCTGACAGGTGTGTAAATTCAAATAGAATCTCCTAATATCATCTATTTACTGAACTTGATTATAATTAGATTATGGACTGAGTCATTTTAAAGTTTTAAATTAGAGTTCACATAATACAATATTGAAAACTTTTTATTATTCTGAAACTCAACATGAAAAAGAAATTCAAGCATCTCTCTCTGATATGAGATATTCTGCTCAGTTTAGAGACACTAAGGGTAGAATAATTCCAAGGCGGTTACCATCAGGAAACCAGGAGAGTGTGAAGCATGACGCAGGCTTCTGACTGTGGGTAAAAGTGTACTCAAAGGAGAAAATAGCTAACTAAACTCTTTCAGTGTGTGCAACTTTCAACTGTGAAAGTTGAATGCACCCCAGTCCTCGGCAGCCAGCTACTCCACGGATACCACTCACCAGTGACCACGTGAATCCCATGCCCACACACTGGAAGACTGCCATTTTAGAGTTTCATAACTGAGAAAATATTTTCATAGAAACAACAAAACAAGGGAATAAAAACACTAGCAACCAGAAAGATAACTTAAGGTAGTTGCACGTTTAAAAGGTCTTTCAGGGAAACTCAGTTCTGACTTGGAAGAGTGTCGGTCTTAGCTCACCTCACACAGGGTTCCGAACTAAGACGTCAAGGAAGCAGTGTAACTGCCTCTCCCAGTCAGCTGAGGCTGCTGAGCAGATGCCCACTGCTGCCAGTCTCCTTGTCTACATTCTCATCTGGGTGCTATGAAGAAAGCCCTGCACTGGGCCCTGAGAAACAGAGCAATGGCCCCGAGCACAATCTCACTTTTTCTGAGCGTTCTTCTCTTTCAAAGAAATGGAAATAGACAAGGGAGATTAGACAGCAGCAGCTCTAGCCTCAGCAGCCTTTCTGGGAGATGTCTAGTCCTGATGATTTTGTGATTTCCAACGTGGTAAGTATCTGTTAGAAGGGAAGAAAACAAAACAAATTTATGTTTATGTTCAGTATTGCTTTAAGAAAACACATTCTGAATATTACATCTATTCTCCTTTAAAACATACAAAGTAGTTACTAATACAAAAACTTTCTGATGATGTGCATTATAATAGTTTTTCAAACTATACCAATTGAAGTCCATTTTAAAAATGTCCTGTTTCTGTACCTCACCACATGTGGGATGAATTCCAATTGTGTCATCAAGTAGCTGCTTCGTGAGCCCACATTTCATTGCAGCTGCAAATCCTTGGGTAATCTCACCGGCATTCGGTCCAAGAATATGAAATCCTATTACCAGATTCTTTAACACAGAAACAAAACAAAGGGAAGCACAGTAGGTTAATGGCCTGAATAGGAATCTATGGATTTCAAGTTCACAGTTCAAAATGACAGCATCTACTACAAAAAAAACAACAAAAAACTTTGAACTCAGCAGAGAGCATTGCAATGAAACTGAGCCACTGTAAGAATTTGTTAAATGAGCCAATAAACACACATCAAGTAATCTGCTTCAAATTCACTAGAAATAAGCAATTTACCCATTACATGGAGCTCAATAGTATGTATGATGGAAAGTTCTGAATTATGCTGAGCTAGTGCTAAATGGTAACATAGAAATCTAAATGAAAGTCTAACACTGGAATAATTCTAAGGCATGGGGTTTCACTGGGATTGCAGTGATTCCCTGCCCAGGAAGCAAAGCTGCCTGGCTCCTAAAACAACAAAGCAGTGATCAAGGAGTGGCTGCTAGGGGTGCTTTTTTCCCTAAGATTGCATGTTGGGAGGTGGGAGGCACATGTGATGAGCAGACCACTGAGACAGGAAGCAAGATTTACAGCATATTCCCAAGCTACACTGCAGTTAGGCTGTCCTTTTGCCAATGTTTTTAATCAGACCCTAGTATCTGTTTTGATCCTCAATAGTAAATAGTAAAAGTGTACAACAGTGTAGTTACTGTCATTTTATAATTCACATTTTTGATCTTTTCTTCTTCCTCCTTCTTATTCCTCTTTCTCCTTCTTCAAGCAATCCCTCTAACATTTCTTGTAATTCCTGCTTCAGTGGTGATGAACTCTCTTCAGCTTTTTCCTGTCTCGGAAGCTATCTGTCCTTCGATTCTAAATGATAGCTTTGCTTGGTAATCTTGGCTCTAGGTCTTGGCTTTGCCTCACTTTGAATATTTCATGCAAATACCTTCTGGCTCGCAGTTTCTATTGAGAAATCAGCTGACAGTCTTAAGGAAGCCCCACTGTTAACTGCGTTTCTGTTGTTTTTAAGATTCTTTGTTTTTAACCTTTGGCATTTTAATGATAATGTGTCTCTTTGGGTTCATCTTGTTTGGGACTTTCTGAGCTTCCTGGGCTTGTATGTCTATTTCCTTCCCCAGGTTAGGGAAGGTTTCCGTCATTATTTCTTCAAATAGGTTTTCAACTCCTCACTCTCTCTTCTCCTTGTACCCCATGTGAATGTTGGTATGCTTGATGTTGTCCCAGAGGTCTACTTACACTATCCTCATTTTTTGGATTTCTACTTGTTGCTATTCTGATTGGGTGTTTTCTGCTACCTTATCTTCTAATTGCTCATTTGATCCCCTGCTTTATCTACTGTTGATTCCCCTAATGCATTATTTCAGTTATTGTATTCATCATTTCTGACTGGTTCTATTTGTTTTCTATCTCTTTATTAAAGTTCTTCCCCTAAGTTCACTGAGCATCCTTATAACCAGTGTTTTGAACTCTGCATCTGGTAGATTGCTTGTCTCCATTTTATTTTTTTCTGGAGCTTTGTTCTAGTCTTTCATTTGGTCCATGTTTCCTTGTCTCCCCATTTTGGCTGCCTCCTTGTTTGTTTCTATGAATTAGGTAGGACTTCTATGTCTCTCAGTCTTAGTAGAATGGCCTTACGTAGTAGGTGTTCTGTGGGGGCCCAGTCTTCCCTTGTCACCTGAGCCAGATGCTCCATGTGTGTCCCTTGTATGGGTTGTATGCACCCTTCTATTACAGTTGAGCCTTGGTTGCTGTTTGCATATCAATGAGAAGGCCCTCACCCTTGAGCTGATTGTAAAAACTGGACAGTGAGGGGCTGACCCTACATAACAGAATTCACTTTAGCAGGGCTCTGGTGCCTGCCCAGTCTGCCCTTGGGTGTGTCATCTTCAAATGAGCCCCAGGTAGTGCTCTAGTTAGGTCAAAAGTGGGCCATGGGGTGTGCCAGCCCCCAGAGACTCCTCGGAGGGGCCTTGCCACAGGCAAAGTTCAGCCACAGCCTGTGCCCTGCTTGGGGCCACTTGGCAAGTCACCAAGCAATGTGCAGATGGTCACCACCTGTGCTAGGCTTGGAAGTGCCTCGAGAGGCCAAGCCACGAACTGAGGCCGGCTGCTGTTAGTACCAGGCTTGGGGTTATTCAGTAAGAGGTATGGGGCACTCCAAGGCCACGTGCTGCTTGTTTGGGTTTTGAAAACCTTTGAGAGATTTTAGGAAACTCTGCAGCATGACCCAGGACAGGCTGTTTGTATGGATAAGCCACTGGAAAAGGCTTCAGTGGGCCTGTAAGTGGGGTGGGGCAGGGTATCAAGGAATCACCAAGGCAGCGGGGTAGGGGAACCAATGTTAGCCAGGTTGATGAAGACTCAGATATGGTGGCTACCTGCATCTGCACACTGGGAGGGGGAAGGGCTCAACGAAGATAAAATGGATTCTGCCAGCACTTCTATCTTGGAGAAAGCTGCCCCTCCAGCCCTCTCCCTGAAGCCAGACAACTCAGTTCCTCTCCATATGTCTCTGGTGCCTTTCAAGCGGCTGCCCCAGTGCTGGAGCTCAGAGCGAGTGAGTCCATCAGCAAGCAATTCTGTGTGTGGGCCCTTTAAGAGGAATGTCTGTGACTCCAGAGGCCCTCCGTCTCACTCAGGCACAATCTCCACTGGTTTTCACAGACAAAAGTTGTGGAAACTTCTCTTCCCAGCACTGGAAGCCTAGGTTGGAGAGCCCGGTGTGGGGCCAGGAACCCTCACTCTTCCAGAGGTATCTCTGTAGCTGAGATATCTCTCTCAATTCTCAACTACTATACAGGGTTATGGGACCAGCCTTCCTCATCTCTCCTTCTCCTGCCAGTCTCTTATGTCCCCAGTTATAGGACTTCTGTTCAGCTAGACTTCAGGTGACCCCCAATGATGGCTGTTTTGTAGTTTAGTTGTAATTTTGATGTGGTTGTGAGAGGAGGCAAGCACAGTGTTTACCTACTCCAGCATCTTGACTGGAAGCCTCTTACTCTGTAAACTTTACATAAAGTCAGCTGTTGCTGTTCATATTTATCTAATTTTAGGTTTTATCTCCCCAGAGAGATTATAAACTCTTAAAAAAGGAGGAACCAATTGCTAACATGGCTTTCTACACTCAGTGTTCTTTATAAAACAAGTCATAAATAAGCTGTGCTTTAAACTCTGATAATCAGGGTATCTGTTATCAGCTTCATGCTCACCTCAATAAGGGGAAGGCAGAAACCGCCAACAATGGGCTCTCCATCCCACGGATTCTTCTTTAATGAAAGAGTTCATTAGGAATTAGCTAATTAACTAGAATTTTCACTTTGTTTAAGTATCTCCTTCGATAGGCTTTTTGACACACACTTTACTAAATATACACAAAGATATACCTTACATTTTATTAGTTATAATCAAAATTTTCACAGATCATCTAGACGGATCTGAGAAAAGAAGTTTCAATGATTATTTCAAGAAGGTATTGGTAAGTCTCAATTATAATCTATGACTTGTTCAACTTCTGCAAACACATTAACTGGTTAATTGGTTGAAGAATTTATACCTTGCCCTGAAAACTACCTTTAAAGAGATTATAAAAACCCAAATACTAGAATAAAAGGTACATTTTAAAATTATAGCATTTCAACTTCTAATCATATTACGTACATTGTCAAGTTTATTGCAAATTATCTTTGCATAGCAAGTATTGTTGTCTCTGCCGGCTACTGTCCACTCAAGAGGCCAGAATAAAGTATGATATACCTGGAAAACAAGAAGAGAGATGAAGAGGCCAAGATTAGTATATATGAAAACCACTCCTTAATATGCTTTTTAACTACACAAACGTGATAATCTCTATAACAGCTTCCAGAAATTTATAAAGTTCTATGATCCCAACTTTAGGTATCTGATGGGAGCAGCTGAACCAGAGTTCCTAAAATGCCAGCTACAGTGTTAACTTTCATTTTGCTCTGATGTTAGTCAAAAAAAAAATCTATTAACTAAATTCAATTTTCAAATTCTAGAAATTCATTTCCAGAGTACTATTATCCAAGGCAATGCACTAGGCCCTGTGTGGGCTGAAAAGGTAAATAAAGGCTTAACTCTGCCTTTGACAAGTTTACAACCTGCCTACAAGGTGCATTTTCAAACCAAATCTAGGAAAAGCAGAAGAAACAGAGTTCAACCCATTTAAAGATACTGAGAACATTACCTATGCTACTTGAAAGTCCTCACTCCAGCACCCCAAGTGCACCACTCAGGCTCTTCAATCTGGCTCAACTGTCTAAGAACCAGAAAAAAACACAATGTGCCTCACCGGCGCCACCTGCTCGCTGCAGCTACATTTTCCCAGTGTTGACCCTCCTAATCCTTTCATTCAGAAGGCACTGGACTAATGTTTGGTGCCAGGATGAGAAATGTATTCTAAACTACAGATGGTCCCCAACTTACGATGGTTCAGCTTACGACTTGCTGACTTTACAATGGTGCAAAATACACTTTCAGTAGAAATGGTAGTTCAAATTTTGAATTCTGATCTTTTCCCAGGCTAGCAATATGCTGTAAGAAACTTTCTTGTGAAGCTGGCCAATGGGAACAAGATGATTTTGCCCAACTGTACAGGCATATTTTGTTTATTGTGCTTTGCTTCATTGTGCTTCAGAGATCCTGCATTTTTTACATGAAGATTTGGTATACACTTTCAGTAGAAATGGTAGCTCAAATTTTGAATTCTGATCTTTTCCCAGGCTAGCAATATGCTGTAAGAAACTTTCTTGTGAAGCTGGCCAATGGGAACAAGATGATTTTGCCCAACTGTACAGGCATATTTTGTTTATTGTGTTTTGCTTCATTGTGCTTCAGAGATCCTGCATTTTTTACATGAAGATTTGTGGCAATCCTGCATGAAGCAAGTCTGTCAGCACCATTTTTCCAACAGCATTTGCTCATATTTCTGTCACATTTGGGTACTTCTCACAATATTTCGAACTTTTTCATTATTATTATATTTGTCATGGTGATCTGTGATCAGTGACCTTTAATGTTACTATTGTAATTGTTTTAGGGCACTATGAACTGCACCCACGTAAGATGGCAAACAATCAATAATGCATGTGCTCTCACTGCTATACTGACCAGCTGTTCCCCCATCTCTCTTCCTCTCCTTGGGCCTCCCTAATCCCTGAGATACAAATGCTATTGCACATTAAATATACTAAAGTAGTGTAAACATAACTTTTATATGCACTGGGAAACCAAAAAATTCATGTGACTGGCTTTATTGTAATATTCACTTTATTGTGATACTCGCTTTACTGCAGTGGTCTGGAATTTAACCTGCAATACTTCTGAGGTATATCTGTACTCTAAAATTTTGTATTAAGTCAGGCCACCCCAGAGCACAACCCTATTTTGGCCCCTTTAAGATTTATTTTTTATTATACTGTGCTTTGGTATTAAGCCATGGGACTGCAGCTGAGGATAAGAAAGTTCTATAAAAGCCATTATCATATTTACTAAAAGGGTAGTCTGAGAATATAATTCACCATATCTAAAGGCCCTATTTTTAAGAATGTAAAGAAATATCTCTCAATTCACCCTTTTCTAGTCAGGTAGTAGGAAGCTTAGAGTTAATTTCAATTTTCAGCTTAATTCTAAAGCAAGTCTATAGCAGCAGTTCCCAATCTCTTTGGCACCAGAGACCAGTGTTCCTATGAGAATCCAATGCCTGATGATCTGAGGTGGAGCTGAGGCGGTGATGCTAGCATGGTGGAGTGGCTGCAATTACAGATGAAGCTTCACTCATTCACATGCCGCTCACTTCCTGCTGTGTGTCTCAGTTCCTAACAGGCCACAGACCTGTACCAATCCACCACCCAGGGGTTGGGGGACCCCTGGGCTATAGGACTTTATAGCATTTTGTGAGCCAACAAGTTAACCTTCTAACATCACCTTATTTGTATACCCTCATTCTCTTTCTACTTTGATTTCTTCATTTAAAAAATATCATATATATATTTTTGAGAGGCTTCCTCAAATGTCTTTATAACAAAAATTTTAAAAAATACTAATACATGAAATTTTTTTGATCCTGTCAAATGCAAAAAATAAATATATAAAGTTGGTGAGTTGATCTGCAGTGACCCTTAGGATAAACAAATCCCACAAACTTGGGGAACTTTTTTCACATAAAGATAGTCCTTTAACTGGGGTATGGCCTTCTATATTCTTCCTTACTCTCTATTTTAATGTCTCATTAATTTCAAAAAGTTTTAAAAGTGGTAAATCCATAATTGTTACCAGCAATCCTCCAATACCCAAGTGGAAATTTAGCACTGCAGAACGGATGGCTCATTATCACAAGGAGTTAATTACAATGCCGATCAAACAATGTTCTCTAAAACATAAATGTCTCATTGAAAACCATTTAAAATAACATAAAGTTTTACTCATACATTTTTGCTACACCAGAAGAGTAAGAGTTTCAGTAAGTCATTAGAACATTTAACTAGGTAATTTCAGTACTATGTTTTAAAGGAATTCCCAATAATAAATTGAAATGTCTTTAAGGGAGAGGACTTGAGATTTCAATTCTCTTTTGCTTAACACCTCGAGTAGTAATAATCCTCCAACTCTGTTTCTCTCTTTCTCTCCTATATTGGGAGGGTATGCAAAAAAAAAAAAAGGCCACTCAAACCACCCACCAAAATGTAATGAAATATTTATAAGGTTGTTGTGATTGAATGAGGCAGGGGTGGAAGGAGAAGGAGAGGTAGAAATAAAAATGTGTGGAGGACATCTCTGTGGGAGTCTGTAGCCCATAGCCCACAAAAGGCGGACAACTCTGGGAACTGCCCATCTTCCCCACCTACAGGCCATCAATAGTGTAGGCTCCCAGAGTCATGAGTCTGGATACTATCGTATCAAATGGAAGTGATTGGATGGATGATCCAACTAGGACCAATCAAAGGTCCTCTCACATAATTTAGAATTGAGACTGAAGAACAGTGAGGCAATCAGTTCTTCATAAAACCAGAACTATCAGATAAGCTTGGGAGCAAAAAAAAAAGGTCATATTTTGACTGCTATGTGCATTCCAGGGACAAATAAAGTCTGCAGGAACAGAAGAATGAACTGCATGCACACACACAAGCATACATATAAACCCCAAGCAAGTAAAAGGAACAGTTGATATGGTTTTCCAATTCCTGGTTCTTATTCCTTCCTAAGGCCTTGATACATTCCATCATTCCCAAAAGATTTCATATTAACTTGTGCTTTCCTATATAAGCTTACTCAGGTAGATGTTTCTTACCTGTTATACAGAAGTTCTAATGCATATATTATACCCCTCTCTTTCTCCAAATGTATTATTAATAGTTTGCAATAGAAACAGAATTTAAATTATTTAATTTCTAATTTTCCTAAAATAGGATGATTTCTTACAATGTAACCATTACAATAACTAGCAAAATGACAAAATAAAGTGACTGAGAGGACGTTGATTAAAAGAGAAATTCTTAAAAAGTAAACAAAACACAATCTTACTTCCAGATTCTCTTTTTTATATTCATCAATAGCTTTCTCTTCAGATAATCCACAACAGCCATATTCCAGAGGAGTAAACACTGTAGTTGGAACATTAATATAATCACACTGAAAGATAAATTACATGCTATTATTTTGTGACATTTTTAAATAAAATCTATATTACATACATTTATAAAAGGAAAATAGGTAAGTCCAGTTAAATGTAAGTGATTGTGACACATTACCATTTCAGGGAATTCTAAATTACACTAAAGGAGACAGGGTGAGCCCCTGATTCCACGGCAGAGATCACACGCTGACCAGTGACTGATGAACAGGACTGGCTCTCTCAAAGCCCCAATCTCACACTTCTGGTCTGAAAATCATGCTCTAGGGGTGGAGGTGGTGTACTTCACTGCCCCTGTAGACAGTTTCTAAAGTGTTCTCCATCCCTACAATTCTGGACCCTACTTTCTTGGAGTACCTCTACTAAGTGACCAAAAATGACACTATATCACTAGAAGTTGAGACCACCCTTGGTCATTTCATTTAACGGTGTCACTGAGATGATGAGCAAAGAAGCAGTTCAACAATGTGAGAATTAGTGACTGCCCTGGATCATCAAGGGTAGATGACATATGTGCACTGGGGGGCTAATAAAGGGGCCAGGATCTCATGAGTCCTATGGTTACGATGGAACCCCTTTCACAGGCCTTATCAGACTGAGGCATGGCATGAGTGCACAGCACAAGAAGACTGCAGACTCTGAACCTTACACACACTCTTCCAGCAGCTCCATGCATCTGCCAATAGGAAAGCAAGTACAGGTAGCATCCCTGCCTAGAGAGAGTGTGTTTGTGATTGTGGAGAAGAGTTGAAATGTGTTGGCAGAAGCATCATTAAAACAGTGTGTGGAGAGAAAGCACTGGAGAATATAACCAGAGATGAAGGTCTCTGTGCCTGCCCATCTATAGCCCCTCAAGGGGTGATACTGGCCACAGTAATATATGTCCCCTCAACTTCTGCCAACAAGTTACAGGTGATTAGGTCAGGGGTAACATCTAACCCAAAGTAATCCATAAGCTGGCTAGAAATCCATGCAGGAAAAGGTGAGCTGTGTCAATCAAGTCCTTTCTTTGCAGGAAAATGAACTAGGAGCAAAGGAAGGATCCCCCAGGTGAAAGTGGGAGGGACAGGAAGAAACATGCCTGCAGAGTTGTATCCAAGTTAGTCTAAAAGGACACCCTGTGAAGCCCCACCCATGTGGCAGGGCCCCAGAGCAGCTGTGACCCCAGACCCAGCCCTGCTCTAACCACAGTGAGGCCCAGTCCTGGCATGGTACTTGTTCAAAGTCACTGTGTGATTTGACTTACTCATTCATGTGATTCTTTATAGGAAACTCCCTCAATTTGCTTAGTTTGAGTGAGTTTCCATTTTACCCAAAAGGAGAACACATCGAAATACCACCAGGTATCCCTGCGTCAATGAGGTGATTGTGCACAATAAATATCAGACTAGAGTCTTTCACTTAAAATGTGCTGTAATCTCATTTTGCAATTGTTAACCGCAAATCATGGGTCAGCCAAGATTTGTTTTTTTTTCCAACATGGCTAGAGAAAGTCACATAACCATGTAGACGGCCTTAGTATTTTCTGACTTCCCTTGGTCCCTCAAATGCTCATCAATCCATTTACTTACCAGCAGCTGACCCCATATCCCATGGCCTACAGTGGAAGCCTTGTTTTCAACAAATGCCTGTGTCCTGTTTCATATCAATTAAGAAAAATCAACAGGCAATTTCTCAGCTTTCCTCCCTTTCATCTAAAATACTTTCTCCACATCTTAAATCATCTCCTCCACTTGAACTTGAGTTCATCTTGCCCTATTTGTAGCCTTCCTTCCAGTCTGTACCTTTAACTTCTCTCTTCTAATCTCTCCATCCTACGACCACCATGACTAACCTCTTAAAGCATTAGGCAACTACTCTGCTTTAATACACCTCAAAATGTTATTGCATTTTGGATGGGATAATTCTTTGTATACTTAACATTCCTGGCCCCACTCATTAATGCCAGCAGAGCTCCATCCCCAGCCACCTCTTATCTACCAACACCTCTATGTGTGCACAAGGTCTTCATTCACAATCTTATAAGGCACCTGGGGTAATGAAATAAGCTGCATACAGCAGCCCTTATGAAGAATAAGAATACATGCCCAAAAAACTTTTCACTTGAACCAAATCATGCAAACACAATCAGAGAAATTCAGAATATGAGACATTCTACAAGAAAGGTAGCCTGGATTCATCAAAAAAACCAAAGTTATGAAAAGTAAAACAAGCCGACAAACAGGGAAATAAAGGCAGGGGACTGTATCAGGTTAAATGAGACTTAGAAGAGCCATGTACTGTGTGTACCAAAAAACATGCACATACACTTAGTGGACAACTGAGAAATGTGAATATTACTGCATTTCTGTTGAATTGCTCAGCTACAGTGATGCAATTGTGGTTACGTAGGTGAATATCCTTGTTCTTAGGAGATATATGCTAAAGTATTTAGGAGCAAAACATCATTGATGTCTGCCACTTATTTCAAAAAGCTCAGAAAAAAAATGTACATGCATTGTATATATACATCTGGAAAAAAGGAGAGAGCAAAGATGGCAAAATGTTATTAACTGTGGAATTTAGGTGAAAGGGTAATACGGGTGATTGTTTTTATTTATTATTTATTTATTATTTTTTTCTGTGGTTTGACATCTTTCTTAATGTTGGAGAAATAAAGGTCTTCAACAGCTCCCACTGCCCAGAGAAGGCCTTACTGATGATTCTTTACTGTGGCATCACAGATTTCTGATGATCTGACACCAAATCAATTTATCAAGTCTCCAGCCTCATTCCCAACTGTATCTTTCTATCACCAACTGCCTGCATATGCCCCAGAATGCTGTAAGTACTGTGGATGGGACAATTCTTGACACCCGCTCAGTAAGACCACTTCTCCAGTTGCTCATTACTCATCAACACCTCTGCATATCCACGGCACTCCTAACGGAGCACAACATGACTTCCTTCAGCTGGGAATTGCTAAGAGACTGCTCATATTTCTAGAATGAAGTAAGCACTGCAGAGCTCTTGGGATTTTGAGTTATCTACTTATCAAGAGCCTTTTGCTTCCTCAATTTTGAATTATCCCACAAGGCCCATCTCAAATCTTTGATCAAAGACTATGAAAGGTAGAGGAGACTGTAGCAATCATCTGATTCACACCATAAGTTTTGCAGATGGTGAAACTGAGGTGCACAGAAGTGAAACAATTCAACCAGGTTCATACACCAAGCAGGAACTGAAGCTAGGGCCAGCATCCTGATCCAATGAGTCCCCTCCTACTCTGTGACAGTGCAACTGTCCACCGGGAGGCCTCTTGGGAGTCAGAATTAACTGCTCCTCATCTTATGCATGACCCCCACCTATCTGGTAAATCCCCGTGGTGCTGGAACCATGCCAGTCCCTTGTATATCACCCAGCACAATATCTTGCACACAGCAGATATTGTGTGCAATAATAAAAAAATATTTATTGAAAACCATTACTAATAGTAAGTCACCTTAAATGATTTATCTGTGAAGGACCCTTTACTTCCAAAACAAGCACACAAGTGTTATTTGTACTGATTTTTTAAGTCATAATTTTTATTTAGATATTATCTTAAAAACAATAGTAAGAAATTTACCTTTTCTAAACGACCCCCAAAGAGTCTTCGAGCCAACAGCTTGCCTGCCTGTATAGCAACGGGAGTGAGCTCAAGTTTACCTTCCAGAATATCTCCTATAGCGTAAACATAGGGCACGTTGGTCTGTTCCATATCGTTTACTGGTATCTTGCCATTCCTATTAGATTTTGGAAGGGAGAAAAATATATTATAACTAACTCTATACTGCTGGATGACTAACACTATTCCAAGAGACAGAGACTAAGTACATAGAGAAAAGACCTCCCTCTAAGAACTCATGTACCTGGAATCATAAACTGTCTTACAATAAGATGTACAATAACAAGGGTTTCTGGAGCTCCAAAAAAAACCATCCTGCTGGTTGATGAAACCATGCTCGTTTTATGGGTGCTGAGGATATTGCCAGATTTCTGCCAGAATTGCAATTAGAGCTTTGAAATTTTTTTCCTTGCTCGACCAAGGACATAAAAATTCACTCTAAATCAGATAGTAAGTGCATACATTTCCACAATTATTTTTTAAAATCATGCATGAGCTCTTTGAGGCATACAACAGTTACTGACTGATTAATGAAAAAATTGGTAACAGAGCTCAGACAGTACTTCCTGTAAAGTAAATTTAAAGCATTAAAATTTTGCACCTTAGTGCAAAATTTTGCACCTAAATTGCAGTATAATTGATAATTTCTAAGAGGTGATCTGTATAAACATTTTGCTTTGTGCAGCAATAGTGCAATGATCCCACATGTACATACTTCTCATTGATTTTGACACCAATCTTCTCCAAGCCTATTTTCCTTGTACTGGAGTCACGACCAATTGCTAACAAAACCTATATTTAGAGAGAGAGATCAAAAACACAAATTATCAATATCAGGAATGAAAGAGAGAACATTACTATAGATCCTTCAGACATTACAAGTTTAATAACTATTTTGAATGTCCTAGGCCAATGAATTTGACAGCTTAGATGATAAAGATTCCTTACTTTTTGTTGAGGTCAAAATGTGTTTTTTTTAAATTGCAGTATAATTGATATATAAGTTTCAGGTGTATTACGAGTCTATATTTGTATATGCTGCAAAATGACAACCTCAATAAATCTAGTTAACATCCATTACTATACATAGTTACAATTTTTTTTCTTGTGATGAGAACTTTTAAGATCTACTCTTAGCCTCTTTCAAATATACAATAATACAGTATTATTACCTGTAGTGACCATATTGTACATTACATCCTCAAAACTCTTTGAAAGACACAATTTATCAAACTTACACACAAATCTGAATAATCTTATTTTATGTGCTGAATTATATCCCCCTACTCCCCCACTTCCAGCAAATTCACATGTTTAATTTCTAGCCCCTTATACCTCAGAATGTGACTGTATTTGGAGACAGGACCTTTAAAAAGGTAATCGAGGTAAAATGAGGCCATTAGGGTAGGCTCTAATTTACTATGACTAGTGTCCTTATGAAAAGAGCAATTAGAAAACATACAACAGACTAAAGAGCAATCATGTAAGGACACAGGGAGAAGGTGACCATCTCTTGGCCAATGAGAGAGGCCTCAGAAGAAACAATGAGAGAGGCCTCAGAAGAAACCAAATCAGCTGACACCTTGATCTCAGACTTCTGGCCCCCAGACTTGTGAAAAACTAAGCTTCCTTTGCCTAAGGCACCCAGTCTGTGGTATTTTGTTATGGAATCCCTAGCAGAGTAATACCCTATCTTCCATTCTCATTAAGGAAACTGAATTCACAATTTATTAACTTTACATAAATTAACTCCAGACCCAGATGACTTCACTGGTAGAATCTACTAAACACATAAGAAATAATACTAATGGTACAAGAACTCTTTCAGAGAAAAGAAGAGGAAATCTTCCCAACTCCTTTTTATGAGGTTAGCATAAATATCTGACACCAAAATCAAACAAGTATATTTAAATAAAATTATAAGCCAATATCCTCATGAACATAGTTGTAAAATCCTTAACAAAATCTTAGCAAATCAAATATAACAATATGTGAAAAGGATCATGACCAAGTGAGGTTTGTCCCAAAAATACAAATTTGGTTTAACATGCAAAAATCAATCAATGGAGTTCATCTGATTAACAGAATAAAGGAGAAAATAATTTGATCATCACAATAGATGTAAAAAAAAAGCATCTGATAAAATTTAACACTCTTTGAGGATTTTAATAAAATCCTCAGCTCACTAAGAATAAAAGAAAACTTTCCCAACCTGATAAAAGGCATGTATAAAAAAGTTTACATCCTAGCAATCATAAAAGATGAATGCCTAACTAAGATTACCCCTAAGATCGAAGCAACATGAGGACGCACACTCACAATTTCTATTCAGAACTGTACTGGAGGTCTAACCTGTGCAACAAGGCAAGAAAAAAACAAAAGGCATGCAGACTGAAAAGAAAAAACCAAACTGATTATATATGCAAACATAAATCCTAAGACTCTACAACAAGGTCAATGTACAAAAGTCATTTATATTTCTATACACTACCAACTAACCATTAAAAGTTAAAAATTTTTAAATACTATTTATGATCGCTTAAAAAAATGAAATACTCAAGATAAGTTTAGTGAAATACATGAAAGCTCTCTAAAGCAAAATAACATATTGCTGATAGAAACTAAAGAATAGATAAATAAGGGAAAATATACGAAGTTCATGTACTGAAAAAAAATCAGTATTATTAAGATGTTAGTTCTTCCAAACTGATCTATACTATACAATCTCAATCAAATCCCAGCCAGCTTTTTTTTTTTTTAATTGACAAGTTGTTTTTAAAATTTATATATGGAAATATAAAGGACTTAAACAAATTTGGAAGACTTATTCTACCTGGTCTAAGATTTACTATAAAGCTTCAATAATCAAAACAATGTGGTGCTAGTTGAAGGAGACAAATGGTTAATAGAATAAAGAGTGCAGAAATAGACTGATGGTTAAAAAGTCAAACTATTTCAACAAAGGTACCAAAGCAATTTAATAAAGAAAAGGAAGCCTTTTCAACAAATGGTACTAGATACCCATATGGAAGAAAAAGAACCTCAAGTCCTACCTCACACCATAAACAAAAATTAATTCAAGATGAATTACAGACCCAAACATAAAGATAAAACTTTAAGGCTTCAAGAAGAGAATATCTTCACAATCTTTGGCAATTACTCAAAAAGTTAAATATAGAAACTATGCTAGGACCAAGCAGTTTCACTCTTAGGCATTTATTTACCCATGAGAAATGAAAATATATGTCCACAAAAGGGCTTATACTAGAAATCTTCATAGGAGTTTAAGTCACAATTAGCCCAAACATTAAACAGCCTAGGTGTCCATCTACAGGAAAATGAATAAACTGATATATTCATACAACTGTATATTTATACAATTCATACACCAAAAAGAATTACTAATATACACAACATGGATTAAACCCTAAAAAACATTACTCTGAGTAAAAGCAGCCAGATACCAAGGAGTACCTAATATATGGTTTCATTTCTGTGACATCTAAAATAGGCAAAACTAGTCTATGGTGACAGAATAAGAATAGGTTGCTTGGGGTCAGAGAATAGGAAGGGACATGAGAGCTTTCTAAACTCATAGCAATGTTTTGTTACCCTCAAAGAAGTATGGATTAGAGAACATGTATATCTTTCAAACTAATTTAACTGTACATCTAAGATCTGTGCATTCCACTACATATAAATTATGCCTCCCTACAAAAATAAACAATTTATAAATTCAGATAACGTAAACAACTTTATGCTAATATGTTTGATAATTTAGATGAAATGGACTAACTCCTAAATAACTATTCAAAAGTAACGCAAGAGAAAAATAGAAAGCCTTAAAAGTCCTTCAACTATTAAAAAATGAATCACTAGTCAAATATATATATGTCTATATACAGAATTCTCTCCTTCTCTTAATAGATAGATAGATAGATAGATAGATAGATAGACTCTCCATAGAAAATTCTAGACTTAAATGGCTGCATCAGTGAATTCTAGCAAACATATAAAGAATGTTCTAATATTACAAAAATGCTTCCAGGGAACAGAAAAAGAGGGAACGCACCCCAAACTTCCTTCGTGAGCTAGAATACCCTTGATACCAAAATCTGAAAAGTTCAATATGTTAGAGGAAAGTATAAGCCAATATGATTCATGAATATAACGTAAAAGTTCTAAATAAACAAATCCAACAATATATAAAAAGGACCTGTACCAAGGTGGGTTTATACCAGGAATACAAAGTTGGCTAAAGATTAGAAAATCAATGTAATTCAAGACATTAACAAATTAAAGAAAAAAAAGAAAGCTACAAATGGAACAGTGTTACAACTGTACTCATCCACTCATGATTTTTTTTTAAAAAAGAAAACCCAAATAACCAAAAAAACCTTAGCAAACAAGAAATATAAAAGAATTTCTTTAACTCGATTAAAATTATCTACAAAAACCCTACAAAAAACATTATTCTTTAATAATGAAACACTGAAAACTTTCATTCAATACTGAGAACAAGTCATGAAGGCCTGCCATGGCCATTTCTGGTTAACACGATACAGAAGTCCTAGCTAGTGCACTTTTGCAAGAAAAAAAATAACAAGGAAAATGGTGGAAAAGAAGAAACTGTGGTTATTCACAAATAATACGAACGTGCACAAAAAAATCCAAAATAATCTAAGGATAAATTATCAAATGAGAGTTTTTTGAGCTCTATTATATATTTTTGAACTTTGTTGACTCTCTGTATTATTTCCTTTTTTTACCTAAAAAAAATCATGTATATAACAGTACATAAAACATAAATGTATAGTTTATGTTAAAACTATAAACTACAGTTTACAAAAGAAATGTTGGCATCTAAACATCAGTTTAAATTAGAATTGTTGCCATTCCAAAGTAGTCCATGAACTAGTCACACTTTGTGGAGATTTTATAGTGTTTATTTTTTTAAAATAAAAATATCTTTTTTTAAAATTATAAGATAGATTTAATGTTTATTGCAAAAATATTCAAATGAAGAAATGTGTAAGATATCTAATGTCCTTGAAGTAAGTACTAATAACAGTCAGGTATATCTGCTTCCAGATTTTGTTCTATGAATAGCTACACAGACACATGTATTTTATGGCGTTTTTCATGTACTACTATCAAATGTCAACAGATTAACTACCTTCCATATTTATTAAACTCTTACAAAGAATACCGCCCCCAAATTAAGCCTGGTATAATTTTCCCATAAATTTCATCTGTGCTAATTTATGAGTGTGCTCAACTACTTACTGCTTATGAAATAAAAACTTACTGTGTTATACATTCCTTCAACAGTTTCTGGTCCTTCAGTGGATTTAGCCACTACTTTCAGCTTTCCAGGTGAACCTTTCTCCAACTGTTGAACCTAGTAAGGACAAATAATGTAATGATTCTATCTAAAGGGAACAGAAAATAAATGGGTCATAGGGTGTACATGTGAGTGTGGGTATACCCATGTGGGTGTATATGTGTGTATATATTTAGGTTTTTGGACTAAGTAGGGATAGAAAAAAGAGGACCGTCACAAGATACATTTTGGAGGTAGAAATAAATTAATGGATTAGTTGAAAGTAGTATAAAAGGAAGAATGAAGGGATGCTTTCTACGTGTTGGCTTAATAAATTGTGAGGACTCTCGTATCATTTACTGAATAATGAGATAGGCCAGAAAGATTAGCAGGGGAATACATTTTGGTAGAAAGTCAAGAGTTTTGTTTTTATGTTGTTAAATTTGAAATGCTTATATGGAATTCAAGGTGGGGGTGGGGGATATCCAGTAGACAGCTGTACAAATGAGTATGAAGTTTAGGAGAGATGCCTCAGCAGGATATATAAATCTAAGAGCTATTGATATTGAGATAAAGTGTAGGCCTAAAGAAGACTGCCCAGGTAAAAAGGGCAGAGAAGTGAAGAAGGACAAGATGCTCTGATATTTACAGGTTTAGTACATGTGGAACTATAGGCTGTGGGGCCAGAGAAGTCCAGAAAAAAAGAATATTTCAAATTGAACGAATGTCAGTTTCACCAAATGCTGCCAGAGGCCCAGTAAGATAAGAATAGAGATGTGATCACTGACTTTGACAACAGAGTTTGCTACAGATCCTGATAAGCAGTTTCAAAGGAGTGGCAGGAATGAAAGCACGTGAGTTGGAAGATGTGGGAAATGAGGTAAGAAATGAAGTAGCATGGATAAAAGTTTTCTTGTAAAGGGGAAAAGAGAAGTCGGGAAAGGTAGAGAGAAGAGGGAGGGTTTGTTTGTTTAAAGATGAGAAATACTGAAGGGAGAAAGATAACGACTAGCTGAAGATGGGACGACCCCGAAAAGGTGACAGAAGGTAAGAGGAACAGTGAGAGAAGAGGGAACCCAGGCTGAGAAAAGCAAGGACACTTTCATGTCAGCAGAGGAGGAGACAGAGACAAAATGGGGGCATGTTTGTAGATTCTGGGTGGGAACATTATCTTTAAGGTTTCCTATTGAGTACAGACCAATTTATTTAATGAAATGAAGGAGAGGTTAAATAAAAAGCTAAAGAGAGTAAAAAGAAAATAAAAGGCATTCCAAATGTCATTCAACTCACCATCACAGGTATAAATTTTCTTAAGAACTTAACACCATGTTGTTCCATGTAGGAACCGACTCTCTCTGCCATTTCTTGATCAAAGCCACGAAGAAGAACTGAACGCACCATAACTGTGACATCTAAGCCAAGGCCAGCAAGAAATCCTGCACATTCCAGAGCCACATAAGATGCACCAACTACTAATGTTTTGCCAGGGCAATAAGGCAGAGAAAAAAGGTCATCACTGAAAAATAAAAAGAATACCTAGACAATAAAAATGAAAATGAGTTAGATTTCAAAGTATAATGGTCTTTTGTTGGCTGAATTGCAATTTGGGACTTGAATGAAGAAACACTAAAAGAAACAGCCTTTTGAAGTTTGTAATAGTATCTCCTGTGGAGTAAGAAGTATACTTCAGTTTTTTCAAAATCAAATTAGTGGATCGCAGCAAAGATTTTTTAAAAAACAGAATAGAAAATATTAGATTACATTCTATGTGATAAGAAGAAGTATTGTTTTGTGGGTTTTTTGGATATGTGTGTGTATGTGTTCACATGAACAACAGTGCGACAAAAATGTTTTTCTTATTGTGCATCAACTGAAAAATTTGAAAGTCGTCATACTAAGTTATACATTGTCCTCTTGATGATAATCCAGGGAAGATTCCTATTAAATCTCAGTATTAGGAACAGCCATGATTCTTCTGATCAGCTGGTTCATTATTATTATATAGACACTAAAACCTAAAGTTAATTGTATTCACTTCTTTGCTTTAGCCTCTGGGAAGTTTAGAGCCAAATTCCCATAGGAATTACCTAGAAACATATAGCATATTTCTGTGTATAAATTTGACCTTATTATTTACTCAAACTATTTTTTCTTTGCTCTATTAACTACTTAGCTTCTTTCTTTCTTTCTTTCTTTTTTTTTTTGAGACCTACTTAGCTTCTTGCATTGTATATACCTTTATTCATCAATTCAAATCTTTGTGAAATAAGGCAGGAAATAAATAAATTGAAAACACATAAACACAATACAATTTACAGTTAAAATGGTCTATTTAATCTTACCTAGTAATACAGTATTCTTTATCTCCTTGGATTCCTAAATACCGCGGCCTTTCACCTGTTGCTATGACAAATTTTGCAGCAGTATAACAAGTTTCCTGTCCTTTTCTATTGGTTGCCTTAAAAAAAGGAAAGTAAACCTCACTTTTCAATAAACACTACAGAGTACCAGACACCATGAACAAACTAATTATTACCCTCTATGGAGCTTCCCATCAATAGAAAGAGACATGCAAAAATAATAATCCAATGTGATAAGCACCACCACAAAATAGAAGTCATTACAAAATATTAACCAAAAAGACTGCAGTGGGGGTGGAGTAGAGGACTGGAAAGCCAGTCAAGAATGGCTTCAAAGGTGGTGATATTTCAAGTAGTGATGAGAAAAGTGAAAAGATTTGAGAGGAATGGAAACCTAAAGAGAGAAGAGTATATATAAATGCACACGAGCCTGAAACTAGCTAGCATCTGGGAAACGAGTGGCCAAAGGTGAAAAAGAGGAGAATATGTGTCAGAGGTAAAGTCATACAGATTAGCACCAAATGTAAAGACCTCTCTGTGTCATCCTAAAAATCTAGGCTATGGAGAATCATCAAAGGTGAACAATAAACACACTGTCTATTTTCAATTATAAAAGTAAATCATAAATATATTTGCATTTTAAAAATTCAAGAAGAAATGAAAATGTTTCAACAAGGGGGTGGTTTAAACAGGTTTCTGCAACAGATCCACAAGTACAGGCTGTGAAGGTGAAGTGAGGAGGACCCTAGGTTTCTTGCTGGAATAACTAGGGAGATGCTAGTGTCACTAAATGAGGAAACAAAGGAGAGGCAGGTCTGGCTGGGGGCGATTGGCTTATTCGACCAACTGTACCAGGCATATGACAGTTTGAGAAATAAAACTGACTGACTTATATTTCGACTATGTTTCAGGTGAATAAGTAATTCAGATTAGCCCAGGCATGGTTCTAAAGTGGTAGCTTTAATTGGACTACCTCACACCTTTCTAGAGACAACAAATAACTACAAAATAACCTCATATCCTTCAAGATCATTACACACTGCTATGAAAGCAGAGTACAAAAATAAACTGGATGTTGAGGATGATATCTGATTGTCTCTCATAATTCCAGTTTAAAATTTTTGTGTTCATCAAAATGGTCTCTTTTTTAATATATTGATCTTATAATACATAAACCTTACAAATATAAATTTATAAAATACAATAATTCTATACTACTTTTATTAATGCTTTTATGAGTAAAATGCTTTTATATATTGGAGTTCTAGGTAAGGTTTCATTTTTTTAAAAAAATTAACATGGCTAAAATTGTGACCATTTTACTATTTAAACTCTGAACTGTTTAAACATTTTCTTCTAAGATAGTAATGAAATCAAAGGGCAAATAACTTTAAATTACAAGTTCTTTAAAAAGTAGTTTCCTCAATTTACCCAGACATGTAGAATCCACAAACAATGGGGGAAACACACGTATTGCACTAGTTATAGTCCTTAACATGTGAAACAGAATTTTAGCTCAAAGTAAGTACAAACAGTAGTAAGGAAAAGCAATGAACAAGACAAATATTCAAACAGTACCTTTATTTTATGATGTTCAACGAATTCTCCATAGGAATTTACATAGGCCACAGCCTTCTCCCTCAAAGACAGCCTGTAGCTCCAATTTAGAGAGCCGATGTGGTTTTGAATCGCTTCTGTCATGGTCTCCCAGTTGTGCTTCACTGAAAATAAATTAGCAGGGTAAGGGCGTAAAGTGAATTTTACTGTAAATGGTAAATTATATATAACCACACATGAGCCATATGACATATCGCTTTAAAGAATCAAGAAGTGAACAGAAGATAATTAGCAACTTAAATTTTTTAATGCCAGTTATGGTTTATACTTCTTCCTTTTATATTATAAAACATGCAAAAAAGCATAGTTCTGAAAAGAAGAAAACTGGAGAAATCCATGGAGGAGAGAATGGGGAAAACTGGGGCTACTACAGCCATGCCCGCAGAGTTATGAGGCAGGAAGGTGATCTGTACTTGAAAGCACCCAAAGACACTTTCACATTCTGTGAGGGCCTGCTGCACGTAGCCTCCTACATGTGAAGGAAAGCAGGTCTCAGAGACAGTGAGCACTGCACTTTCACCTCCCCAGACCAGCCCACGCCACCCCAATTTGGTTCATCTGGCAGTAGTTTCATCACACTGAATATCCTACATTTCTTCACCATAAATGTGGTTTAGTGCTCACCAGTGCACACCATTTGTAATACAATGTTTACCTACTTCCAGTTGAAGCTGGGGTGGGAGTTGATGGAATTGGATTCCTCATCATCCCTGTGTCTTCTAGGTGGGATTTATTTCTGAGCATTCACCTCGACTGCTGATGCTGGTTTCCAAAAAAAACACACCATCTCCATGCAGCACTGTGTTTATAAGACACAGAGGCCAGCCCAAGGCTCCTGTCAAACTGGATGAGATCCCCAAAGACAAACCCAACCAACTGAGGGTTCTCCCTCTGGTCACATTTAGAAACTTACCCCATCTAGCACTCTCAAGAAAGGCCCCACTACAATTGCAAGTTGGTGCAGCTACCATGGAAAACAGTATGAAGGTTCCTCAAAAAATTAAAAACAGAACTACCATATGACCCAGCAATCCCACTTCTGGGTATTTATCTGAAGAAATCCAGAACACTACTTTGAAAAGATATATGCATCCCTATGTTCGCAGCAGCACTATTCACAATAGCCAAGATACGGAAGCAACCTAAGAGTCCACTGGATGATGATTAAATAAAGAAGTGGTACAAATATGCAATGGAATATTACTAGGCCATAAAAAAGAATGAAATCTTGCCATTTGTGACAACGTGGATGGACCTAGAGGGTATTACACTAAGTGAAATAAGCCAGGCAGAGAAAGACAAATACCATATGATTTTACTTATGTGTGGAATCTAAAAAACAAAATAAATGAACAAAACAGAAACAAACTCATAGATACAGAGAACAAACTGGTAGTTGCCAGATGGGAGGGGGGTTGGGGAGCTGAGTAAAAAAGGTAAAGGGATAAAGAAGTACAAATTGGCAGTTACAAACTAGTCACACGGATGTAAAGCCAATTGTATTATAGGGCATATAGTCAATTATATTATAACTACTTATGGTGTCAGGGGGGTACTAGACTAATCAGGGAGATCACTTCATAAGGTATATAAATGTCTAACCCACTGTACACCTGAAATTAATATAATATTGAATGTCAACTGTAATTAAAAAATTAAAAATTTTAAGGAAAAAAAAAGGTCCCACCACTCATCAGGGACACAGCAAGGCAAGCAAGGAAAAGGAAAGACAGGCCAGTGTAAACATTTATGGCCCACAAGTCACATCACCCCTTACAGCAGGGGTCCCCAACCTCCAGGTTGCAGACCAGTACTGGTCCAGCGGCCTGTTAGGAAATGGGCCGCACATCAAGAAGTGAGCAGTGGGAGGGAAAGGAAGTGAAGCTTCATCTGGATTTGCAGCCACTCCACAGCACTAGCATCACCATCTCCACTCCACTTCCTGGGGCTGGGGTGGAAAACACTGCTTTATAGGATGCCAGTGTATAACAAGTCAACTAAAATTTTGCAATCCAGAGGGTCATTCTGCTTACTACATTACCCCCATGCCATGACTCAGCAGTGATGACCCTTTCTACAATGCCGCATACCCTTATATCCTAAGGTATAACTGCCTCGCTTCCCCAGTAGTTGAAAAAGCTATTCTTCCGACACCTCAAATATCTTTTTTTCTGGTTCTTGTTGTAAAAGACAATCTATATTAGAGGTTCTCACACATCAGAACACCCTGAGAATCATGTTGAAATATACAGATCGTAGGACCCACTTAAACCTATGCAATCAGGAGCAGGACCTCAGAACCCAAACAGTTAAAAAGCTCCCCCAGATTTTGATATGGCAAGTTTATGAACTGGCATTTTGGAACCACTTGCTCTAATATTTTATTAATCTGTTTAGTCCCACAACAGTATCACAATTTTAAATACTGATGGGAAAAGCCATTCTCTATTCTTTCTCAAAAACTGCATAGCTATCATCACACACTTTTCAATATGAACTTTAGAATAATCTGTCAAGTTCCAAAAAGAAAAAAAAAATTATCAAGATTTTTTTCCTAGACTTACATAAAATTTACAATAATGTCTTTACAATATCAAGACATCCTACCAAAATCAGAGTATATTTTTTGTTATGCTTCTATATTCTTTTCTTATAATTTATACATTCCTAGTTAAATTTATTCCAAGTTATTCTATCATTTTTTCTTGCAATTTTCCATTATATAATTAACATTATTGCTGATACTTAAGAAAACTATTGATTTTTGCATGTTTGGGAGCAAGTTATTGAATTTATTAGTTCTAATATTTTTAGTTCAATCTTTTGTACATTCTAGGTATATTGTATATAATTCATATTATAAATTTACAATATCTTTTTCTTCTTCCTTTTCAAATAAGTACACTTTTTCTTTTCTATTCTTCATTTTGTGCACTGACCAGAAGCACCAGAACAATATGGATATTAGTAGTGGAAGTATACAGCCCTGTCTTACTCTCGACTTTAATGCAAATGACTCAAGCTCTTTTCCATTACATATCTGCTTCTGACTTTTCTTCATGAAGTAAGGCGAGTGTTGTTTCTTTGATTATTTTACTAACAATTTTTTGAAAAGCAAGAACGGATGTGACATTTTTATCAAATGCCTTTGGAGCTGAAATCACGATTGGCATGTGGATTTTATGATTTCCTAATGTTGACTCATTCTTGCATCCCCAGAATAAACCTTCATAAATTACAGTGCATTTTTTAGTATACTGCTGGAGAGGATTTGCTAATGCTTTTTCTAGAGTTCTGACACTTCTACAGGCTATAGTTTTCTATTTTCATACCATTTTTCTGTATCACCATTACGTCAGCCTCAAAAAAAAAAAAGTAAACCTTTCCATCTTTTTCAAAGTCCTACATAGTTTAAATTATAAAGTATTACTTAAAGATTTGAGAAAATTTACTTGTAAATCTACAGTGTCTTAGGGAATGGGTTGTTCTTAAACAATGTTTTCTCTGATAATTCAAGTCAATTCTGGTCATTAATATTTTCCTAGTAGATACTCTTTTTCATTGAGATATTTAAAATTCTTACCACTAATTTATATATTGAATTTGTTTTATCTCTTATCTATAGTTATATTTCTTTTCTCACACCTAATACTGCATACTTGTATGAATTTTCTCCCCTTATTGCCTTGATGGATTTAACAAAAGATTGCCTACTTTATTTGTATTTTCAAATACACTATCACTTTTATTTTAGAGAGGGTGATAACTCATTAATTCCTAAGTTTTAATTTTTTTTTTGTTTTTGCCATGTAGTCTACCTATCCAGTAGTATAACTGCAATTGCTTTGCTTTGTATTTCCTGATACTTTTTCTTATCTATTAAAATTTTTAAAAATCTACTTAAAAATTCATACATTTTCAATAATTATCTCTTTTGGTTTTAGGTGTATGTCTTGTATAAACAGTATGTCAAAGAATTTTGCTATTTACTTAACCTGAAAATCTGACCCTCAGTTTTATTCTAATATGTAAAAGACTGCAATTATGTTAGATATCTTATTTTCTGTTATTGTTCTAAATTATACTATCATGCTGTTACTTTGTATATTTTTCCTTTCCCTTTGTTTTACTTGTAAGTTCTATAATTCAATTTCTAATTTAGAGATTATGTATACGTTTTTAGTTTATTTTAATATATAGTTCTCTATCAACATCAAGAATGAAAGTATCTACAACATCTCCCCGAACAAGATTTCAGCACGCTTTTACTTCCTTTCTCTTGCCTCTAAGATTCTGTTGACTTCTTCTGGCCATTCATTGAAGCTATGCCTAAAAATTGTTAAGCCTCAATTTTCATGTAATGGCTAGCTAGGTATTTCTTAGTATAGCACCTCAAAATTAATTTAGAACTATTTTAAATACAGGGAACTTTAAGGAATCTAATGTAAGATTTTACCCACACAAGGAAATTAGAAATTATTTAGAAATATTAGGCACTTAGAAGAGTTCAAGAACATCAACTGGCCCCTCAGCGGAGGCAAAGTGGTATGAACATACACCCTGCTGTCTCCTTGAAAGTGCAGAGCCCCAACAGTGTGAGGCAGTGGTCACAAACAAGGATGATGCATCAAAAAGTCATCAGCATGTGGGGCGAGCCTGCCATCTAGTATCATGCACACACCACCCTGCCTGGCTAGCCCCTTTGTCATAGGCTGAGTGTGCAGATCCGTCCTTCATGGCCTTTTTCCCTACCAAGGAGGCATTCCATGTTTTCTCCCTACTTAGGCTTAATTATTATAGAAACAGGGTATGAATATTTTTAATTTTAAAAAGAGACTCCTCAACTACCTACCGATCTGAAATGTACATAATTCAAATTCTATTCCATTTTACCTTACTGCAGTATTTCACTCAAGTTAGTTCTCTTTGAAGACTCCCTAAGCCCTAAATCTTGCTCTTAGAAATCTAACCCCTCCTGGTTTCTGTGACACAACTCTTCTGGATTTCTTCTTCTTCCTCAATCGCTTACATTAAGTATTAACATATCTCAGGATTCTCTCTCGGTCTTCTATTCTTTCCATCCCCAGACTACCTCAGCAATTCCTAAGACTTCAACTATCACCTACAATGCCGTGGCTCTAAAAATCAAGACTTGTCCAGACCTCCCTAGAATACAAACCATCCACAGGTATCTATTCCACCAGGATGTTCTGAAGGGGCTTTAAGTGGAACACCAGGGAGAAGGATTCTTGAAAGTGAAGACTATCTAGAAGTTAAACTGCCAAGTGGAGAGACCTCATTTTCTCCACAACCAGTTGATACTACAGTTTGACCAAAAGCTCTCCACTGAGTTAACTGTCTGGGGAAATTTGTTCATAGCGAGTATGTCCAACTGGAACCCATATGCTGCAAACCTGTTTTCTATCTCAATGAATGCATTTTCACTCAATCTCTCTTCCTGAAGTCCTTCCTCTCCCTCTGTCCTACCAATGACATGAGTGGCCTAGCAGAATCACCCTAAGTATCGATAAAACTTTAAATATGCACATGTACAGCTAGCTCTACTAGATCAAAATCTCTGGGAAAAGAGACAAGTTGTACTTAAAAAAAAAATTCCATATTATTCTAATGAACCGAGATCACCATTCCACATCTAGCCTGTCAGTTCCATGTCTTAAACCACCTGATTCTATTTCTTACTCTCTCCAGCTGACCTCACAGTCTTTGCCTAAGCCTCATCATTTCTCCTCTGGGTTATGCAATAGCATCTCACCTCACTTTATTGTCTTTGGACTTGAATCCCACCCACCCACTCACCTCCAGCCTTCAAAGTTCCTTGG